ATTAAGAAATAAAGTGGCAAAAATGTGTTTTTTGAGTCAATATATGTGTCAAACATAAGCTATTGATGAACAAAGCTAATAAACTTTTATCCTTCTCACTGCTGTCATGTTTTATTTAACACGACTATGATTCCCTTTGAGCACAAGCAGACTCAAGTGGGTTTTCTTTTACTGGTTTATTTAATAATTGTATTTATTAAGTCGGTTTGGGATCTCCAAATCCACCGTGAAAACTAAATAAAGTTAACAAACACAAACATCAGTGAGACAAACAATAACCTGCAAAGCAGGAAATAATTATTACAAAGCAAATAAATAAATAAAATACCTCATTGGCTGCATGCTGCAAGAAAAAGGGAATTATCCAAATATTATAGATTCTCCATTAACATATTTAAGCTTAACTTTTGCAAAAATTCTTAAATAGAGGTCAAACAAGACTCCTCTTGACTTCAAAATAAAAGCGCTCTCTCTAAACTTCAAAACAAAAGCAAATCCAATCTATACTAAATAATACAATTTAAAACAAATACAACTTACATACATTCCAATTAGACAAGAACCCTTGAAAAGAATAAGAAATTATAGACATAATATTTCAACAATATGCATAAGACAGTAAAAATGCAGCAATTAAATCGACGCTGTTCAGAGAACATTTTAAAGGTCCAAACTAACTCCAAACTCCTCGTTTTGTGTGAAAAATAAAGCTGAAGAAGACTAAACATCCTGAATATCCATCGAAAACACAAGTCTTTGATTCATAGTGCAGCATTATTACCTGTAAATCTGTTCATTAGGAGCAGATTTCTCATGGAGTTGCACATTTTAGTGTCATTTTATTGAATTATATCTATATATCTGCATAAAATCATCGAAAAATCAGGTGTCTATACTGAATTTTTTCATTTACTTTGGTTTTGCTGGACTCTACAGCCAAACTGGAGCATTTTGGCCTTAAAAGTAACTTAAAAGTAAACTTAAAAGTTACTCAAAAGTAAAAGTAAAAGTGCATAAATATGATCTGCTGATGAAGTTCTATTGATATGATAAAAAATACTTGAGGGAGAAAAGGCAGATCTCATAAAATAGGATCGAATTCATCTTATCCAGATTAGAGGAACCAAAATATCCTTAATCTACATTTTTCTTTTCAATCACTGCCTCAAAGCTTTCAAAAGTACTTTATCTGAGTCCGTTTTGACTTCTTATTGAAATTAAATAAACCTTTTGAGGTTTGAATGAATCTTGTGGAATGTTTCTGAGGCTTTTTGATGGGACACTTAGAGTTAAATTAGTCTTTGACTACATGAGTTTACTCTGTGGAATTTCCATTACGCTTTAATAAATTGCTGATTAACGTAGTTAATCCACAAAGGCAGATGCAGCCTCATCCAGATGTTTTTGTGAGAGTGGCGCCCCCTAGTGTCTGTTTTTATTAGCACTGCAAACACCAAAAAACTGACAAACTTTGCTGTTTTGGGCTGTTTTTGCCCTGAAGGCTTCCATAAAACTGCATAAAGCTGGTAAAAAATACAGGAATATTTTTAGAATGAGCTCAAATTATGAGTCTTTTTTAATTAAAGAAACAGAAACATTATTTACAGGGAGTACAAAGATAATATGGTTCGATTGTCATTGTAAATATATCTGAAAAAGGAAAGAAAAAAAAAACAAGTTGCTGTATATAAAAAGGTGAAACATCCCACCTATAAGTCCTTCCAGATACAGCTGGATAAATAAAGATGATAACAGGAAAATCCTCTTGAGGAGAGAACATTATTGTAGAGAAAATCGAGATAAAATGCACAACTTAAACACTACACAGTTCAAAATGACAACAAAACCACATAAAAATGACACTTCAAAGTCCTTTTCCAAATGAAAACGACCCATCACAACAAACTTTGTGTTTTTTTGTGGACGGATATCCTCACACAGGTCTGGATCTTAAATTTTAGGGACATAAAAATGTCTAAATGACACTATAGATTTGCTTCAGACTTTGGTATAACAGCCCTCAGATTTCTGTCAGATTCCTTCAGTTTCCTTCAGATTCCTTCAGATTTCTTTAGATCCTCTCAGATTTCTTCGGATTTCTTCAAATTCTTTCAGTTTTCTTCAGATTCCCTCAGATTCCTTCTGATTTCTTTAGATTTCTTCAAATTCCTTCAGATTCTTTCAAATTTCTTCAGATTCCTTTAGATTCCTGCAGATTTTTTCATATTCCTCCAGATTTCTTAAGATTTCCTCAGATTTCCTCAGATTCCTTCAGATTTCTCCAGATTCCTTCACATTCTTTCATATTTCTTCAGATTCTTTCAGATTCCTTTAGATTTCTTCCGATTTCTTCAGTTTACCCTGAAATTTCTTCAGACTTCTTCAGATTTCCTCAGATTACCTCAGATTCTGTCAGATTCCTTCAGATTTCTTCAGAATATCCCAGATATCTTCAAAATCCTCCAGATTTCTTCAAATTCCTTCAGATTCTTTCAAATTTCTTCAGATTTCTTTAGATTTCTCCAGATTCCTTCAGATTTCTTCAGATTTCCTCAGATTCCTTTAGATTCCTTTAGATTCCTTTAGATTCCTTTAGATTCCTGCAGATTTCTTCAGATTCCTCCAGATTTCCTCAGATTCCTTCAGATTTCTCCAGATTCCTTCATATTCCTTCATATTCTTTCATATTTCTTCAGATTCTTTCAGATTCCTTCTGATTCCTCCAAATTTCTTCAGATTTCTTCAGATTCCGTCAAATTCCTTCAGATTCTTTCAAATTTCTTCAGATTTCTTCAGATTCCCTCAGATTCCTTCTGATTCCTCCAAATTTATTCAGATTCCTTCATATTCTGTCAGATTTCTTCGTATTCATTCAGATTCCTTCAGATTTCTTTAAATTTCTGTCAGATTCCTTCACATTTCTTCACATTCCTTCAGATTCCTCCATATTTCAGATGGAGTGAAGCCTTTAGATTCCTTCAGATTTCGTTAAATTTCTGTCAGATTCCTTCAGATTTCTTCAGATTCCTCCATATTTCAGATGGAGTGAAGCCTTTAGATTCCTTCAGATTTCTTTAAATTTCTGTCAGATTTCTTCAGAATCCTCCAGATTTCTTCAGGTTCCTTAATATTTCTTCAGATTTCTTCAGATTCCTTCATATTCTGTCAGATTTCTTCAGATTCTTTAAGATTCCTTCAGATTTCTTCAGATTTCTTTAGATTTCTTCAAATTCCTTCAGATTCTTTCAAATTTCTTCAGATTTCTTCAGATTTCCTCAGATTTCCTCAGATTCCTTCAGATTTCTCCAGATTCCTTCACATTCCTTCATATTCTTTCATATTACTTCAGATTCTTTCAGATTCCTTCTGATTCCTCCAAATTTCTTCAGATTTCTTCAGATTCCTCCATATTTCAGATGGAGTGAAGCCTTTAGATTCCTTCAGATTTCTTCATAATCCTCCAGATTTCTTCATATTCCTTCAGATTCCTCCATATTTCAAATGGAGTGAAGCCTTTAGATTCCTCCAGTTTCCTTCAGATTTCTTCATATTCCTTCAGATTTCCTCCATATTTCAGATGGAGTGAAGCCTTTAGATTCCTTCAGATTTCTTTAAATTTCTGTCAGATTCCTTCAGATTTCTTCAGATTTCTTCATATTCCTTCAGATTCCTCCATATTTCAGATGGAGTGAAGCCTTTAGATTCCGTAAGATTTCTTTAAATTTCTGTCAGATTTCTTCGTATTCCTCAGATTTCTCCATATTTCAGATGGAGTGAAGCCTTTAGATTCCTTCAGATTTCTTTAAATTTCTGTCAGATTCCTTCAGATTACTTCAGAATCCTCCAGATTTCTTCAGGTTCCTTAATATTTCTTCAGATTTCTTCATATTCTTTCAGATTCCTCCAGGTTCCTTAATATTTCTTCAGATTTCTTCAGATTCCTTCATATTCCTTTAGATTCCTTTATATTCCTTGAGATTCCTTTAGATTCCTTGAGATTTCTTCAGATTTCTTCGTATTCCTTCAGATTCCTCCATATTTCAGATGGAGTGAAGCTTTTAGATTCCTTCAGATTTCTTTCAGATTTCTTCATATTCTTTCAGATTCCTCCAGATTTCTTCATATTTCTTCGTATTCCTTCAGATTTCCTCCACGTTTCAGATGGAGTGAAGCCTGTTGGAGAGCAGCCTGTGCTCGTCCAGCTCGTCTCCGCTCTGCAGGGCCAGACGCAGCTTTTCCCAGAACACCTCGGGGTGCGTTTGGGCGCGGGGCCAGCTCAGGTAGGTCTTTTTCTTCAGCAGGTTCCTCATGCGGTGGTACGGAGACAGCAGGTAGCTGGGAATGTCCTCCAGGAAGACCAGGATCAGCACGTCCTTGTGCTCGTCAAACAGCCGGAAACTGAGGAGGCGAGATGGAGGAGAAGCAGAAAAAGTTAAGACACAAAAAGATACTGAGGGTCGTATCGAAAGGAGGTTTAAAGAGATAAAAAATGGAGAAAAGTGATTTTAAAACTGTCAAATAGAGGCAGAAGAACTAAAAAATGTGGCAAAAATTAAGATAAATGGACACAAGATGGCAACGAAACAATAAAAAATCACACAAAAATGAGCAGAATGATTCCGTAAAAATAAGTAAAAATAACACACAACTCTTTAAGAAATGAAGCTATTTTAGTGACGTAAATCTGTCCCAAAAGGAGTGTTTAGTACCCAGAAAAAGAGAGTAAGACACACGTCCTTGTGCTCGTCAAACAGGCGGAAACTGCAAAAAAAGACGCACAGGGTCATGTCGAAAGGAAGTTTAAAGAGAAAAAGCTGGAGAAAAATGATTTTAAAACTATCAAATAGAGGCAGAAGCGAAAATAAAAATAAATGGACACAAGATGGCAACGAAACAACAGAAATTAACACAAAACAGCCCAAAAATTAGCTGTATTATCCCGTAAAATGAACACACAACTCTATAAGAAATTAAGCCATTTTAGTGATGTAAATCTGTCCCAAAAAGGAGTGTTTAGTA